CCCCAAAACCCCAAAACCCCAAAACCCCTTTTGATCAGAAAATAATTGAAATATATATATTTTGGCTTTAGATAATTTAACCAAACTTTTGATCACAATAAAGTTGTTCTCATTCCTGCTTTGATTTTCCTTTGGTTTCTTTCACACACATGAACACAAAAGTAATTGTAAAAATCTGAATTGTTGCTAGTCCAAAGTAAACTCCTTGAGATGTGAAATATTTGAAGGCTATTTTATTAAAACTAAAGCTTACCTAAATTTGAGAATGTTCCGAAAATCCAAGTTGCAGTCATATTGATCAACGCCACAATCGATCAGCCGTAGCTATCTAATATTTCCGAAGAGTAAATCCATAGAGCTTGGCCAAACCCAAAGTTGAACATGAATGTAAAGACCAAAGTGAAGGCTATTATTCCAATATGAATTCCTAATCCAGCTCAAACTCCACAAAGAGCAAGGGAAATTCACATGGCTATCTCACTTATCTGGATAAACGAGACTCTGCCAAAGTATTTTTGTAGAGGAATTGAAAGACCTGTACCACAGAATGCACAAAATCCAACAAAAAGTGTTCCTATCCTTGCGTGAAAAGCAGCATCATTTCCTGTTTTACCTATTTTCAATGATTTAAGAATCCTACCATCACTGAATATTTCACTTGAGAAGAAAGTTACAGAGTTTATTCCAGTCAGTTGCTGCATCAGGCTTAATAGAGAGCCTATTACGAGAGCTCTTTTATAACCCGAGGTCCATCTTGGAACAATTCTGTCCTCATTCTGACTCCTGAATCTATTTTTAATTCCAAAGGTAAGTTACCTTTGTTCTAAAGGCTGTCTTTTGGGAATCAATCAGGCTTCTTCTTCGGGAATTTCTAGCTCGACCTCAGGGTAATCGAACTCAAGAGATGTGCTATCTTCGAAAAGGTAAATCCTGCTTGTAATTTTATCAAAATTAACTTGATCTTGATTCTTCTTGTAAAACAAGGGTGTGTCATACTTGAACACGAAGAGGAAGAGAAATATCTGGACTAATGCAAAAATTGCAGGAAGCCCAAATATGTATCTCCACTCGTTTGAGTTTACATCATCTATATGTTTTGTAATTTTAAAGAAGCAAGAATTAAATTTTGGTGTAATATCTTTATAAGTTTATTAGGATAGTTTTGTAACTTGTATTACCTGGTAAAGGCATGGCAAACGGCACGCTGAATGCAAGTAAAATTCCGGAGCATGCTCCCATTTGATTGAATACTCCCAAGAGTCCTGATAAATGTGGTGGAGAAATCTCTGAGATAAATAATGGTCATAAAGAAGCATAAGATCCAATGCATACTCCCATTATCAATCTCCCTCCTATCAGTGCGTAGATATTGAAAATCATTGTGGAAGCAGTAGCCATTACAAAGATGCTAGAAACTACTAAAAGAGAGAGCCTTCTTCCTTTTCCCACTATCAGCCCTACTAGCACACTGCCTATAATTGCTCCAAAGGGTACGAGGCCAGATACAATAGAGTTGAATAAATTCTTATTTTTAATAACTTCTTTCCCATTCTGCACATATTGCTTATGCAAGATGTCGGTGAATGCATTGAAATAAGCAAATCAGTACCCAAGTAGGAGGAAACCGATGGCTGCAGTCATAGCTAGGGTTACGAGATATGGCTTATTCACTTCCTTGTCTCTCATTTTCAATTTTTTAATATAATATTGGGGTTTTGGGGTTTTGGGGTTTTGGGGTTTTGGGG